TATTTTCCTCCCTTCCCTCTCTTCCCCTTCTCCCTCTGGCCCTCTCCACTGCTTTTCTGAAGCCCTTATCCTTGTCCTTATCCCTAACTAAGTCTGCTATGTCATGTTGTGATATGCTGTGTTATGCTATGATATATGCGATGCTGTGCTATGCAATCCTTATCCTTATGATGTGCTATGATTTGCTATGGTATGCTGTGCTTTGCTGTGCTATGCTGTGCTATGTTGTGCTATGCTATGCTAAGAATGCTGCGCAATGCAACGCTATGATATCATTATCCTCATTCGGTCCTGCGTTGTGCTGTGGTATGCGATGCTGTGCTATGCTAATCAGGCCTTGATGGCGCGCTGTGCTATGCGATGTTTCAAATAACTCGAAAAACCCTCAGAAACCCAAGAAACCTTTGGAAACCCTCAGAAACTCTTACTGAATACGATGAAATGATGCAGCTTCTGCGCGGAAGGTATGGAAGGTGGAGACTCAGGGTAGGCAGTTTCCCCCCCTCTTCTTTCTCCTCTCTCCACCGGGGCCCCCAGGGATTCAAGGGGCCTCGAGGAGGGCTGAGCCTTGATAAGGATGGCGGAACTAGCTCGAGCTGGTCAGTAGCCTCTCCGGCTCAAGCCTCGAAGCCAGCGCCTTCTCTCCCCGAGTCCTCCAGGGGCGTCTGGGCGCGAGGGCAGGGTGATCAAGCCGACGAAGGAAAAGGGGCGCCGAGGCGCTTCGGCCAGTCCGACGACGGGGCGCGGGACGCCGCCTCGTCTTCAGCCCGTCAAGGAGGACGGCCAGCCCGATCAGGTTCACGACTGGGAGAAGGTCGGGACGAGCGACGTCGATACGACGGCCGACGAGGCGATCAACTACGAGGCGATGACCGAGCTCGAGATCCAGATGTTCCAGGAGGGCCACCTGCGCCTCGATGTGGGGCAGGGCAGGCACGCTGGCGGTCGGTCGTGCTGTGAAGCTGCACGGGGCTGCGGCCGCGTCCCAGGCGATGAAGCATGTCGCCGGGATGGCACCCCGCGTGATGCAGAGGGGCAGCGTGAACCCGGACGAGTGTCCGCACCCGCCGTGGGCACAGTGGTCAGGAGCCAACGGCCACTCGACCTACACGTGTTGCCGGGCCTGCGACCAGCGGATTGCCTTTCGCAAGAAGACCGAGCAGGAGAATATGCAGGCCGCCGCGAAGAAGCTGGCCAAGGCGAAGGCGAGCGGGCTTCGCAAGAACATGAAGCAAATGGTCTCGCAGCAGCTCCAGGAGTGGGAGGACGAGTTTGCCAAGTCGGAGGGCGCCGACCCATGGGCGCCGAACCCGAGCCTCCGACCGCCTCCGAGGAGGCTCGAGTCCGTCTCGGAGCAGGAGCCAGCCGCCTCGGCGTACCTGAGGGCCCCCGTGAACGAGGGCTACGTTCCCTACAAGGCGCCCCCCGCGGAGTCCAAGACCGCGGCGCCAGCCAAGTCGCCCCCGGGGACGAGGCCCATGACTACACGCGAGATGATGATGGCCCTAGCGGACATGAGGCAGTGAATCGAGACCCAGCAGCGCCACAACCAGGGACTCTACGAGACGGTGACGAACATCATGCAGCGCCCAGTGCTCACCGACAGCGACATGACGAGGCTCGCCACGACGATGGCGGCGGTCCTGCGGCAATCGCTGCCGTCCCAGACGGCCGACGCCTCCAGCTCTGGGGGGCCAGCGTGAAGGGCGTCGACGAGCCTGGCTTGCTCGCCTCTTCGAGTGAGCGGTCCGGGGCCGCCAGTAGAGGAGTCAGAGGGGATGACGTATTCCTGAGAGACACGGGGGTCTGGCGCCGTTGGCTTAAGCCTAGAGTGGGTCTCTCGGGTCACGACCCTGTTTTCGGGATCTGGGACCAAGCGGAGGGGAGATTTGTTAGGTCGGCCGAGCTAGGAGCCAGGTTCGGATGGAGCCAGCGCGACTTAGATCCACAGGAACGGTCTAGTCTCTTCGTTGCCCTTGCCATGGAAGCGTGCGGGGGTCAGTCTTGGAGTCTGGCGCCGGAAAGGCCGAGGTGGGTCGAGGTCAGGTCTCCCGAGGGAAAGGTCTTCATGAGCACTCCATGGCTGGGGGCCACCGCTAGCGAGTTTCGGGCTGCTCTCACGAGAGCCAGGCTGAGTAGTGCGCAGCCCTCTGAAGCCGGTCTGGGAGCAAAGCAGTGCCGTCTTGACCTGAAGTCGCGCGCTCCCGCGGTCCGAGTCTGGCAGGAGCCGTCTCCTCTCTCCTCCTGCTCCTCCGCCATTGTTGATGCTTGCTGTTGCCCAGGAGCCGGGGGCGAGCAGATCGGGGAGACAGGGGGCCCAGAGGAGGCGGGGAGCCTAGCGGTGAGCACGTGCAGCGACTGCTACTACATCATCGAGGACCGCTTCGCGGCTGCCGCCTTAGCTGGTGCGGGGCCCAGCTCATTCAAGGGCGCCACGGTGCCCAAGGTGGTGCGAGACGCGACAGTCCGTCTCTTAGATGGCACGGGGCTCAGATCGAGCCGAAAGCTGAGGCGCAAGCAGGTCCGGGAGGCCGAGCGAGCTCGGGAGGGCTCTTTAGTCATGGAGGTCTTCTCGCCCCCCCGGGTGTCTGGCGAGCTGCCCCGCCGGGGCCGCAGGATCTCGCCTTCGTTCGATCTCCTTGCCGGGGTCGGCCTGCGGACGGCTAAGGGGCAGAAGGCTCTGTGGGGCGCGATCCACCGAGATAAGCCACTTTTCATCGTGATGTCTCCGGGGTGTCGGGCCTTCAGTCAGGCTCGAGCTTCCTCCTGGGATCGAGTGGACCATGCTACCCTAGTAGAAGTCGAACAGCGAGGCTTGGAATACGTGCATCTTTGTATGCAGGTGGCGCAGCATCAGCGAGAGCAAGGACGCTTTTTCGGACTTGAGCACCCCGAGGGAGCGAGCTCTTGGGGCTCAGGGAGGTCCAGGCCCTGCTGGGCCTCTATGGGGTCCTCTCGGCGATCACCGATCAGTGCGAGTTTGGTCTTTCGGTCGTGCCTGACGGGACCCTGTCTCGGAAGCGTACTCGACTCGTTAGTAACCCTCGCGAGTTCCTCAGATGGTGCACGAGGGTTTGTTCTAGACTGCACGGGCACGCTGTGCTGGAGGGGGGGGCGCAGGACCCACAGGTCTGAGCGGTGCCCGGTCGAGCTCGTCGCGGCGATGGCCTCGGGCATTGAGGCAGCCGCATGGCAGTATCACTTCCCCCCGCAGGCTCTCGTTTTCACTGCTCTCGAGGAGCTCTCAGAGCAGGACGGGTGCTCGGGGCCGACACAGCTTCCCAAGCTCGGCATCGCCGGGAATTTCTTCAGTGGATCAGGTCCTCGGGGCCATTCCCGAGGGCGCCGGGGCCGACGAACTCGACGAGGAGGAGGCCCCAGAGGGGCTTCCGGGGCCGGTGCCAGGCCCCGCGGGGGTTCCCGCGGGCGAGCAGGCCCCCGACGGTCTGGACTCCGCTCTTCAGAAGGAGGCCCACCGGCTGCACGTTAACCTCGGTCACCCCCCTTGGAGGATTTCTCGAGGACTCTGAGGGTTGCGCGTGCCAGGGTCGATGTGATCAAGTGGACCAAGAAGGAGTTTGTGTGTGGTACGTGCGCTTCTCATGCTCGGCCTCATTGGAGGCGCCACGCTCATCTCCCTAGGACTTGCGAGTTTAACAATCTGGTTGCCGTGGATCTGTTTTACATCGAAGTGGACGGAGTCAGTACCCCTGTGCCCAATGTCCTGGACCAGGGACTAATTATCAGCAAGTTTGTTTGTTGGCGAGTGATTCGGCTCTGAACACGTGGCGAGGGTTTCTGCAACTCTGGGTGCGTCCGTTTGGACTTCCGGAGATCTTGATTTCAGATGGGGGAGGTGGGTTCGAACGAGAATTTGCTCGAGGGTGCGAACACCAGGGAATATGCTGCGCTGGCCAACTCCCCACATTATAATGGGAAGTGCGAGCGGCATGGCGGCATTTAAATGGACGTGCTGTCCAAGGCCTCTCTGTCCCCTAGCCCGACCACTAAGGAGGAGGTGGGGGCGCTGCTGTGCGAAACGGTCGCCGCGAAGAACCGTACCTATCAGAGGGGAGGGTATAGTCCAGCGCAACTTGTCCTCGGCCACAACCCCGGGGCCCCCCGATCGCTCCTGTCGGATGATGCTCTGGATCTCGTGGGGGCTGAGGACATTCTAGGGGGCATTGGTCAGGATTCGGCCGCGGCGGAGTTCGCGAGGCGTCGCAAAATTCGGGGGGCTGCTCGAGCAGCGATGGCCAGTCTTGACGCTCGCGCTCGTCTTTCCGAGGCTAGCCGTGCTCGTGTTCACGCCGATAAGTTTTTCAAACCAGGGGAGTGGGTCTACGTGCGGCGAAGGGTGGCGGCCGCCAATCGGGGCCGCGCTCTCCAGAGAGATCGGTGGACCGGGCCGGGCGCAGTTGTGTGCCAGCGGGGGGGGGGGGGGCATATGGGTTGCGATGAGGTCCAAGCTGCGCGAGCGTTCCGAAGGGCAGGTAAGACCTGCTACCCGTCAGGAATCCCTCGGCGCCGAATTGCTGGATTCGGCTCGATTTGATGAGCTCAGGGAACAGGTCAGGACCCCGGGCCGTCGTGCGGGAGCGGTGGGCGTAGCCGCCGAGGGACCGCCTCCTCCTGAAGCGTGGGATCGCCCCGGGGCCGAGGCCGGGCCCGAGCATCCGTCTCCGGAGACCCGTGCTCTGGCTCCGGTCCCGGCCCCAGGTCCGTCGCGCCAGGTGTCTTCGATAAGCCCCGGGGAGGCTTCGACTCTTCTTCCCCCGCCTTCCTCTTCCTCTCTTCCCCAGGGGCCGAACTCGGAGGTGCCCGAGCCTGCCGAGGAAAACAGCAGGGCTCCAAGTGAGCCCACGGCGGCCGGGGAGGACGGGCCTCGAGGTCAGTCGAGGGCAGCCTCCGAGTCCGTGGCTCCTTCAGAGCGTCCATCTTTGCGTCCTCGGTTGACTCCGGTGGAAGATCTGCCGGGCTCGCGACCCCGCGTTCGCGAGATGGCGGATGAGATCGAGCGAGCCCCGATGACTGAAGTCGAAGTGCCGGCTGACCAGGCCGTGAACCGGGTGCGCGGCCGGGCTCCCACGATGAGGTCGCTATCGGCCCCCAGAGCTCGGAGATCAGCCCCTTTTCATCCGGCCTCCGGAGGCCGCGGGTGGGCCCCCGGTTGAAACTCAGCCAGAGGCAAGTGGTGCCACTGGGGAACCCGATCCCGCTGGCCCTGATCCCCCGAGCTGGTGGGCCGAGCCAGACGACTACCAGGATCAATTTTTGCTGGGCGAGCTGCGCGGGTGGTCAGAGATCCCTGGCGCGCCCGATTACTTGAGTTCCTTTGGCCTCGGCGAGGCCTCGGATGATTTTTCGGGCGCCTCAGGGGTGCAGCCCAACAATCCTCGGGGGGCGGAAGCCGCGTGGAAGAAGCTCTCCCCCGAGGAGCGGGCCCAGTTTGTGGCTTCAGATCGGGCCGAGTGGGAAGCCATTGTGTCCTCGGGGGCAGAGGAGTCTCGAAGTGTGCGTCGTCGGCTTCCTGATCGCATCGTCTCGTCGAGGATGGTGAGGAGGTTTAAGCCAATGGAGGGAGTGGGTGCGGCTGCTAAGGCGACATCGAGGTGGTGCGTTCACGGGCATCAAGATCCGGACGCCGAGTCTCTTGCAGTGTATGCACCGACTCCCCAATCGGAGTCGATTGCTCTGGTGTGCCAGATTATTGCTTCGTTCAGATGGCAGCTGAATGTGGCCGATGCTAAGAACGCTTTCTGCCAAAGCAATGAGCTCAGGAGGCCAGCAGGCGCCATCTATGTCGAGCCATGTTCCGGACTCGAACTGCAGCCGGATCAACTCATCGAGCTGATAGCTCCTGTCTACGGCTTGAATGATGCCCCTCTGCTCTGGCACCAGACCCTCGCAGAGTACTTGGCTTCCCTCGGTTTTGAGAAGTCTCTTTTGGAACCCTGCCTCTGGCTGAAAAGAGACATAGTCGGCGCCCTGGAAGGTTTGATTCTGATAGAAGTGGACGGCTTAATCGTCTCGGGCCAGGCCAGTTTTGTCCAGGGGCTTCGGACCGCGCTCTGTGGGAGGCTTCAGTTCGGGAAGTGGAAGGAGGGCGATTCGGAGTTTGCCGGCCGGCGCCCGCGCCAGCTCCCCGATCGCATTCTTAGTGATCATCAGAGCGTGAATTACCTGCCCCGCTTTCGCTTCCAGGCAAAACCAAGCCATGCCACGCGCCTCCTCGTCAAGCGGCCTGACCAGTACAGGCTGCAATTTGGCATCGTTTGGTATCTCTTGGAAGCGAGGGTGGTCAAAAGCGAGGTAGGTTTGTTTTCCCCCTAGATCAGGTATACGTTCGAGAGCAACTTTCGGTTATGTTTCTGGACACAGAGCGCAGGTCCACTCCGGAATCCCCTCTGACGAGGGCTAAGATCGCTTCTTTTCGTGCCAGTGTGGCGCAGGTTCAGTGGTTGGCCCGGGAATCGCGTCCAGACGTGGCGGGACCCGCGTCTTTACTTGCTGCTGCCCTCCGGGAGCCCACCGTAGCCGACGCCATGGTGCTCACCTGTAAGTTTCTCCGGGGATCGGCCGAGCAAAGAATCACCGTGTGGGCCCTGGATCCGGTGTCCGTTGTGTTCGTGACCGCTAGTGACGCGGGAGGGCCGGGATCGGCCAACAGAGGGGGTGCCCAGGGAGCGTGGTTGATTATGGCAGCAGACGCTGCGGTACGAGAGAATCGCCGCGCTCGAGCATCGGTCTTAGCATGGCGATCGCAGCGTCTCAAGCGTGCTGTCGCCAGCACCGTTGCTGCTGAGACGCTTGCTCTTTCTAGGGCGACTGCTGAGGCGCAGTGGCTACAAGTTCTGTGGCGTGACGCTGTGTTTGGTGACGTGCCTAGACCAGAGTGGTACAAGGCTCAGTCTCCTTTCTCCGTGCTGCTCTCGTCTCAGTGCCGGCTAAGCGAGGCCGCCCAGGGGATTGCGGTGGTCGATGCTAAGTCAGTTTTCGGTACCCTCTCGAAGAATTCCGCAAGTTCACAAGCGGATCGCCGCAATAGCGTGGAGCTAGCCGTGATACGCGACAGCCTGTCGGCTGTGGGGAGTAGAGTTCGCTGGGTTCCCCACGGGAGAATGCCGGCCGATCCTCTCACGAAGGTCGACCCATCGCGCGGGAATCTCGCGCTGCACGATCTTCTCTGCCGGGGTAGTCTGGCACTCGTCGACGAGTGCGGCCACCTAGATGAGAGGGCCCTGAATGAGGCCCTCAAGTCGCGCTCACGGGGCGCCAGCCGCAAAGCTATCGAGCTTGCAGCGGCGAGCGAGACCCATTCTGTGTCACGTTCTAGATTAGATCTCGAGCCGAGATTCGTTTCCGTCGACCCTGGGGTGTGGGTCGGCTTTACTTGCGCTGGCGAGGGGCTGGTGAGCGGGGCTCTCGATCCCGGTCCCTCGGGTCCCTGTGCTGTTTCCTTGCCCTCGTCGTTTCTGCCCTCCTCGTCTCCGTCCGATCTCCCGTTCCCCCACCCGCGGCAGTGCGCACCGCAGATCCGGGAGACCTACGGCGAGGCCAGCTCCCAGATGTTGGAGATAGGAGAGGAGGAGGAGGAGAAGGAGCATGCGAAGAAGCTAAGGAGCCGAGAGGGGTTAAAGGCCGCGAGAGTTAGTCCCGCTGTCCCCCTCGGGCCTCCCTGGGCCCTCGTGGGTTCCCCGAGGTCTTTCTCTCCGTCCTTTACCCCTCCTCCCTTTTCGCATCTGCGCTAGCCTTTTAGGCTCATGCTCTCATACGCGCGTGCAAAAGAGCTCCCACCTCCCCGTTCGTCCCGCTCCCAGCATCCCATATGCCGTCCGATGATGAGACACCTTGATGGCGGAAGCAGTCCTCGGCAGCGAGGCTGGGGGGGAAGTGAGAAGGATAAGGCCTTTTCAGAAGGCGGCGGGACTTCTCAGAAGTCCTCGCGCGTCCTGAGAAGTGTTTTATGCCTTCGGGGAAGGCGTCGAAATCTTCTCGGAAGGCCGGTGGGCTTCCGAGCCTTCTGAGAAGGCCTTCTCCTTCTCATTTGCCCTCGCTCGCCGCCGGAGTCCTCTTGCCCTGCTCTTCGTCACCGCCCACCAAACCACCCAAACCAAACCCGAAGGCGCCGATTTGCCCTCCATTTCCACTGTGGGGGGGTCGGGGAATGTTGAAAAAATCATCTATGCAGCCCGTGCCCCCTCCAACCCGAAATTCGTGTCTTCGGGTTGGGGTCGGGGTGTCTGGTACGGTAGAAGGAAACAGTTAGTGAACACACCGCCTGCCCCCCAAACTCGAAGTTGGCACGCGCGGGGGAAACTGCGGCCGATTTGCAACTCATCAGACCCACCGCCAACTTTGAACATTGAGGGGGGATGCGTTCACAGATGAATGTGGCATGAGTGTTCCCTATTTTTTCCGAGGCCTGTAGGCAGTCACTTCGTCCGCTGGTTCAGCCTGGCCCCGCGGCGGCGCCGATGGGCTGCTGCCTCCCCGGGCTGCAGGCCTGGCGGCACGGCGACCACGGCGACAATGGCCGCGACCACGGCGACGCTGGCCCGAGGAGCCCCTTCGGGTACGGCCGGGCAGGCCGGAAGGATGTGGCTCAGTCGATGCAGAACGCGTACGGGGACGTGGACGATGACGATGAGGGGAGGAGGAGGAGGAGGAGGAGGAGGAGGAGGAGGAGGAGGAGGACGACGAGGACGAGGAGGACGAGGACGAGGACGAGGAGGAGGAGGAGGAGGAGGAGGAGGAGGAGGAGGAGGAGGAGGAGGAGGGAGGCGGCGTGGGGCGACCTGTGCCCCACGGTGCCGGAAAAGCCAGGTGGGAAGGGGGGCCGCCCGCCTTCGGTGGGCCGGTGTTGCTCGCGGCGCAGCACAGAGGAGGCCGGCGCCCCTTTCCTTTGCCCCCCCCTTTCTATTTTCTTTTCTTGTTCTCGGGCTCCGTCGTCGCGGCGGCCCCTGGTTGTTGGGGGGGTCGTGGGGGCGGGCGTTTCGCCCCCCCCGAGTTGAGGCGTGGACGTTCCGTTCCCGCAGCATGCTGTGTCGGTGAGGAAGGGAGGACGAGGATGAGGGAGGAGAGATGATGAGAAAGGGAGGGATGGGAGGGGGACAAGAAGGACGACGCGGACGAGGTCGAGGACGAAGAGGAGGAGGAGGAAGAGGAGGAGGAGGAGGAGGAGGAAGCGGCAGTAGAGGAGGACGAGAAGGACGGGGGAAGGCAGACGGGGAATTCGGCGGGAAGGGGAGGAACGCGGACGGAAAAAGGAGGAGAAGGAGGAGGAGCATGAGGGGAAGGCGCACGAGGATAAAGAGGATGATGGTGATGATGATAATGATGATAATGATGATACTGATGTTGATGCTGATGCTGATGCTGATGCTGATGATGAGGATGAGGATGAGGATGAGGATGAGGATGAGGATGAGGATGAGGATGAGGATGACGATGAGGATGAGGATGCTGATGATGATGATGATGATGATGATGAGGAGGAGGAGAGGAGGAGGAGGAGGAGGATGAGGACGAGGATGAGGATGAGGATGAGGATGAGGATGAGGATGAGGATGAGGATGATGAGGATGAGGATGAGGATGAGGATGAGGATGATGATGATGATGATGATGATGATGATGATGATGATGATGATGATGATGATGATGATGATGATGATGATGATGAGAGGAGGAGGAGGAGGAGGAGGAGGAGGAGGAGGAGGAGGAGGCGGTGGGGAGGAGATGGGATGAAGGGGATGGGAAATGGATTGCTTGTTGTTGTTCTACGGGGGCGCCAGCGGGGCGCACCGCTGCCCCAGGAGAGAGGAGGCCGGGGAGTGCACGCCCGCGGCGGGCAGCCGCGACGGCGCGTGGGAGGCAGGCGCAGGCGCCCTGCGCAGGGGCCCTGGGATGGGGGCGAGGGGGGAGGAGGAGGAGGAGCAGGAGGAGGAGGAGGAGGAGGAGGAGGAGGAGGAGGAGGAGGAGGACCAAGAGGAAGAGGAGGAGGAGGGGGAGGGGGTGGAGGAGGAGGAGGAGGAGGAGGAGGACGGGAAGGAGGAGGAGGAGGAGGAGGAGGAGGACCAAGAGGATGAGGAGGAGGAGGAGGAGGAGGAGGGAGTGGAGGAGGTGGTGAGGGAGAGATGGGCAGGTCTGGCCACATTGTAGACAAAAGCTCGAAATGTCAGTTCGCATCTTCCCTCCTAGGCGCCTCTTAAAGGGCCCTCGGGGGGCACGCCTTCGGATGCCTTCGGCCGTCATCGAGGCCCTTTGCGGCCGTCCTGGGGTTTGTGCCCTTTCGGAGGCCCCTTGCGCTCTGTTGGAACTAAAATTCGGTCCATCCCTTCCCATTGCGCTGATTTTTTCTCTGTCCGTGGACGTTTGTCACGGCCGACCTGCAGCTCCACAAAGGACTCCATCGTATGATGCGCTGCCTGAAGAGGGAAGCGGGGCGAGAGGGGAAGAGGAGGTCCGGGGGGAGTTCCGGTTCCTATCTCTCTTTGTCGGGGAGGACGATTCAAGACGACACATGAGGGATGGGCTGCGCATTGGGGACCGTGGCGAAAGAGAGGGTTATCGACACACACACACACACACGCACGCACGCACGCACGCACGTACAAACAAACACACAGACACAGACAAAGACGCAGAAACATATACGCACACACGCACGCACGTACAAACAAACAAACACACAAACACAGACAAAGACGCAGACAAATATACACACTCCCACACACACTCCGACGACATTGCCGATGTTGTCGATGATGAGGAGAAGGAGGAGGAGGAGGAGGAGAAACAAGGGGGAGAGTGAGGAGGAGTCGGAGGAGGAGGAGGAAAACATCGACACAGAGGAACACGACAACACCGCATGTGTTACACCTGCAGGATTCGCACCTGGGAGGAGGTCCGGGGGGAGTTCCTCCTTCTTCTCCTCATTCGAGCTGTTGGAGAAAACCGCCCCTGGAGTTAATTATCAACGGTGCGGTGCGAACGATAAACCTGGGGGGTCGTCAACCATCTTGTCGGGTCAAAAAACTGCGCTCGAAGGCATGGAGGAGGCGTCGGGTCGCGGAATGTCGGAGGCAGCACAAGGGGGGCGCTTGGGGGGGGGCTTCCAGGAAGCGAAGGGGCTCCTTGGAAGGCAAGTGTCTTCCTAGTAGAGTCTTCCTAGTAGAGCCCAGAGGCTTCTGAGAAGGCTGTTGGGAAACCGCGAGGGCTTCTAAGAAACCCATGTGTTTCTAAGCAGCCCGTGGCGTTTTTAGGAGCCCCCCCCTTCTTGCCGCCAGCCTGGAGCCATCCCCTTGTGTTGTGTAGCTGTTCATGGGAGCCTTCGTGTTACTTTACACCTTTTCCTTTCCTGCAAACCTCGTGCCCTTTCCGTGCCACTCCCGCGTCGTTTTAGTGCCTTTGCTGTCGTTGTGTTCTGATGGTCTTAGGCTCGTAGAGGACGTTGAGAGCGTGTCCGAACGGAGGCGGGTTAGAATTTCAGAGTGGAACGATAGTTGTGATACATAGTGTGTGTATGACACGCTCGTACGCCACTCGCCGCCGCTTGGCTCTTAGGGGCCCCTTTTGCCTTGGCTTGAAAACGTATCATCAATCACACTGGCAGCGGAGCTGCTACACGATCTTCGGCATCGTACCACTGCGCAAGGCTCGTCCTCTCGCGAGGAGAGCTCCTCACGTTTTCTTTGCACTGGGCATCCACCCTTACGAGGGGATTGCCTCCTTGCCGCCATGGCGCTGTCTTCCCTTCGCTATCGGTCGAACGCCGACGCGTGGACTCAGTCGGAGACGAAGGGTGGCTCCTACATCTATGATGGCACCGTGAACACCTTTCACGAATGGGAGTTCCGCACAGAGATGCGTATGAGTGCTGCTTTGTCTGCTGTAGATGCAGAGACAGGAGAACCCCAGGCACATGTTGTCACCGCAGCCGTCAACAAAGTGGTAGAAGGCCTCAGAGGCGACGCGTTCGATATGGCCATGGATATCGGTAAGGACGCGCTTCTGACTCCCAAAGGAATCGCCCAGCTGATAACGGCGATTCGTGCTTCACTCTTCCCTATAGAGGCTCAGGAAGCCAAGATCCTGTTCCAGGTAGGTCAGAGGCCCTACGGCCCTCTGTCCAGGCAGAACGGTGAATCGATGGTATCATACATCTCCCGCAGGAAGCGTTGGTGGAAACTCGTCACCAAGTTGGACCCGAAGCTTGTGCTGAGTGACTACATGCTTGGATCCCTCCTCTTGGACCATGCAGGGCTTTCACCCTCGGAAAACCTGATGGTGCTGACATCCACAGGTAACATGACCACCTTTGACAAGATCAAGGATGTCTTGATCCTCCAGCACGGCCGTATCCACATCCGCCAAAAGAGCAAAGGTGGAGACCCGTCGAGTAAGGGCTCCAACCCCTCGTCGTGGACACGGCATCGGCCCGGCTACCCTAGCAGGAGCAAGGGCAAGGGCAAGACCCGGTACAGCAGGCCGCCCCAGGCCTTCCACGCCACCGACGACGGTTGGCACGAGCAGGAGGAGCACTATCCAGAGGAGCTTAGTCCCTATGGACACTACGCGTCTGGCTACACTCCAGAGTACGGCTGGGACGACACGACCTGGACCGACGTAGCCTGGATGGCAGACGGGCAGACGGAGGGCCAAATTTGGGGCGACGAGGAATCGTACGCTCTCTGGTCACCCGCGCAGGAGGAGAGCGAGCTCGATGGAGACGTGTTTGACGAGATGGTCAAAGCGGGCTACACGGAGGACGAAGCTTCCGAAGTAATCCAAGAGAACCTGGTCGCCAACCTAGGCACCAAGGGAGGTCGTAAAGGTAAAAGCGAAGGCAATGGTCACAACAACTCAACACCTTGGAGAACTACACGGCCGCCCAAGGGCGGCGGCAAGGGAGCACCGACCCTGGAAGATCGTAAAAAGCGACGCCAGGAGATCAAGAAACGTTCCAAGTGCAAGACCTGCCATGAGATTGGCCACTGGTCCGGGGACCCTGAGTGCAAGGGCAAACCCAGGACGGGCTTTGTAGCGTTCACTGGAGAGCGAGAGCTTCAGTTACGCGAGGAAGGCGACGATCATCAGTTCGCGCCTACAGGAACCATTGCCTTATCGTCCACCATCCATCATCATACTTATAGTAGCAATATGTCGCATTCGGGCAAGGTTTCCTTTTGCTCTTCCTTCTCCCCTCACTACTCGAAGTGTCGCAGGGCATGTTCTTGTGAGGGAATGGATTGCGATGGTCATTGTTGCTTGCTGTCTGGTCATGAAGAGGAGTGCACGTGCAGGGGTCGCATGGGGACCGCTGCTGCTGTGGCCCAAACCAGCCCCGAGCGCGAGCACGCGGCCGCGACTCTGGAGAGCCCCCAGACCTCAGTGGAGGCTGGCGAGGAGCACTTCGGGTTCATGGCCCTGCGTGCGCCTAGCAAGGCCGCGCCAGGCAGACCCTCGGCCTCGAGGGCTGCTGCCCCGAGCGCCGCCTCGAGGGCGACCGACGCCTCCGACGGGCCAGAGAACTTTTCGATGGCTTCTGTATCGGATGAGGAGTTCGAGACGCCAGATTTGGCCCCTGTTCCAGGGCACGATGCGGTGTTCGCTACAGGCCAGCATCGTGGGCTTTCCTATGGCCGAGTGCTGAAGATGACCCCAGAATATGCATCGTGGAGCCGCGGTGTGAAGAAGCCGAGTTTGGAGCTGAAGAACTCCTTGGTTTGGTTCGATGAGTACTTTGTCCAGAAGGAGGATGGTAGCATCGGCCGCCGCACCGAGGGGAGCGCCATGCCCTCGGCTAGCTCCAGCGTGACTTCGAGCAGGGAGCCGCCGGATCCGCCGCTGCCTCGCCCCTGTGCTCGCGGTTGCACCAGCTTCTCGGGGCCCGGTTCATCGGCGCGCTTTATCGTCCGCACCTGCAGGGGCTGCGGTCACAAGACCAAGAAGGAGAGATACGAGGCACTACATCAGCCGGATGTGTGTCCTCACGATCTCGTGGACCACCGGGGTAGCACTGCCGACGTTCATCGCACGGTCTGCTGCAAGTGCTTGACGTACATCGATGAACAGCCCCGTGCACTCGCTGAGGACAAGAAGAGCACGGCGGAGAAGGTCAAACTCTCTTCTAACCTCCAGGCGGAGGCGATCGAGAAGGTCATCGAGGGCGACCGCCGTGTATCTCCTGAGGAGCTGAAGGTTGTAATGAAGATGTTCACGAGGCGCGCTAGGTGATATCAGCACAAGTGAGATGGTTTCATTACTACACGACTGTGTGCAAGAGGCAGCAGATAATGAGCTCATCGCGTTCATGGCACCAACACCAGCACCTTCAGTCACGACCGACACGTCGGCAATATCAAAGCTTCGTTTGGTTGACGTCTCCAAGGATGATGGTGTATGGGCTACCCTGGACGAAGGTTGTAATTCTTGTTGTCATGGAAAAGCTTGGGCCCTCAATGCAGAGGACAAGTGCGAGAAGATAGGGTTCTTTCCACAATGGGCCCACAGAGAGCGGAAATCGTACAGTGGCATTGGTGCTCAGGCTGGCAGTTCCACGACGGGCAAGAAGTGTTTTCCCTATCGCATTGTGGGTACGTGCGGTGCTGTCAGCGGTTGCTTCGAGTCTCATCAGTTGAAGGATTCAGATCATGTGCCTTTCTTGCTGTCGCTACCGGCACAAGTCCCCCTCGGTCTCGTCAAGGATCTCGCCGACGGACGCGCCAGCCTGGACAAGGAAGGCGAGATAGAGATGTGTCGCTGCAGCCGCTCAGGTCTCCTTGTCATTCGTCTCGATCAGTTCGATTCGGATCGGATTTCCGGGTCTATTCGCTCTTTGCACATATCATATCAGGCCCAGAGCAACATGGAGGATATCGG